AACTATAGTTGTACTAGCGAGAAAATGGGATTTGATTGGGATCCCATGTGAACATGCTATGTATGTTTTCTTGTTCAAAAATAAAAAAATAAAATTGAAGACCATGTTCATAAATGTTATAAGTTGGACAATTTTTTAAAATCATACCGAGTATCATATAGAACCAATTAATGGGTTGAAGTATAAAACAAAGACCAACAAACCTGCAATTCTTCCTTCTAAGATTGATAAGTTACTAGAAAGGAAAAAAAAAGATTCTAGAACCTTGGGAAGGAGAGCAAAACTCTAAGTCGTCTAGAAAACGTAAAAGAATGATATGCACGGTATGCCACAAAAGGAGACATAATAGTCTAAAATTTTCTAAAAATCCAAAAAGCTAGGTTAGTTAATCTAACTTTATTCATTTTTCCAAACAACAATTATGTTATATATGCATTCAATGAGTCATGATTTTTTATACTTTTAGGCTCAAGCAATCGCATCTCCTATAAAAAATGAATTATCGGGGTCTTAGGATGATACACCTACGGAAAGACAATTGCTTCAAAAGGTAATGTGAGATCCTAAGTTATTTTGTAATTTTATAAAATAAACTATGTTTAATTTGTTAACTTATTACTTATTTATATTGCTAAGGCAAACAAAACGAAGGTCAAGAAAATAACAGTTGCCAAGGTTGCTCTTTCAAGATTAACAACATTTAAGAAAACTCAATGATTATCCAGAATAATACTCACTCAAGAAACTAGTTTTTCTACATGGAATGTAAGTTTTGATTTTTTTATTTTTTTGTTGGAAAGGTACTAAATTAAGGACTTGTTTTTTTTTTTTTTTTTTTAGCTCGGAAATAATGGTGAGAAGGTCATCTCTTTTCCTCAAAGGCCAAAGAAGAAACAATGAAATTTGAAATATAGCTAAATGTCATTGGTTGTTTTGATGTTGGTCTTTATGGAAACGATGGAGATGAAGTTATGTTTGACATGAGGTCTTCAAAATCAATAGAATTTAAAGTTGAAGATGGTTGTTTTTATTTTGTTTTGTGCATAGGATTTTGGAATGATTTATGCTAGTTTGCGGACATGTACGACATTATAAGTATTATTTTTTATGTTTTTTTTAATTTATGTTAGACATGAGGATGATGTTATGGAATAATTGTTGAATCTATTGTTTTTAATCCGAGTGTTTCAAGTCTATAGGTTCCTCCATATATGCCACAACTCCTCTATATTTATTGTAATCATGTAAAAAGAGATTGCAACTATAACAAAGTAGCCTAATACTCTTTACCAAAACTGGGTCTTAACCTTGATGAAGAGCAAGTTTGACTTGATGAGATCCTTGTGGAGATTGAAAATCTATCTAACCTTGATGTTTCTAATCCTCTTATTTCAGTTTAATAGTAATACAAGTCTCTTTCTCTAAAAGAAATAACAAAAAAGTCTAGCAGAGACATCAAAGGATAGAAATAAAGCAAAAGAAGCAACATCTTAACATGTCTAATGTCAACTATAATGCTAATAATAAAGCGATTCGTTGCTACAACAAACATATGAGATGTACACTATTGACCATAACATAGGAGGATTGACAAGAAGGAAGAACTAAAACGAACACATTTGTTCAAAATCGAGTTACAATTGGACCATACTAGATAAGGAATTATATCTATAATAAATTCATCATTTGATCGAAATCGAGTTGCAATTGTAATATGGTTGTAATTGTAATAGTCAAAGATAAGTCGCACAAGGAATTACATTTGTAATAACTAACTCTAACATTAGATCCTTACCATCCTAGCTAATCACAAATCAACAACATCACAATAAACATTAGGTATAACAAAATTCCTAATCCGTATCTAAACATAACTTTATCATATGCATATCTATAGTCTTTTAGTTTTTTGTTTAAAAACATCCACCTCTTCCAACACATAGCTATTTTCTCGCTCTAAGTGTTGCAGCTTTCCATAAATAATTATTCCTTCTCGGAATATCAATTCATCTTCAATTCTCTTTTCAATTGTGTAATTTCAATATCAAATCCCTAGTTCTTTATGATCAACTCGTTTATTTTCGGTAAACAACCTGTCTTTCTCTTTCTATCATGCCTAAAATCACATTCTTTGCTCTACGCAATATAAATGATTTACACCATTTATAGAAATCAAATCCAACATTTTTCCTCCAATTACTTGCGAGCATGAATCTGGACATCATAAGAACTTCACGGTTGGGTGAAGATCACTCAATAATGTCCATCTTGGAATTCATTCTCCACACTTGCAAAATAAAAGACCCCTTTCATAATCATACTCGGTCTTTGGGGCATTGCGAGCATAGATTGGAATAATTCTTCCATTTCTTAACTCATTAGACAAACTTGGAGAATCCATGGACGAACTTGAAGAATCCATTTTCTTGTGGCATTTCAAAACAACAATATTAATTCTAAGTCACATAAAAAAATAACATAAAATTTAAAGAATTAAAATAAAATAAATTATCAACATAATTGCAACTAGAGGAATGAATCAAACCCGAGAGGAAAGGGACCGCATTTTGAGTGTCGGAGAATGCGAGGAGAAGAGAAGCCAAGCAACAAAGCTTCGATTGATCAACCATAATTGAAGAAAAGATGCTTTGATCAATCGACCATAATTGAAGAAATCAATGTTTAGGTACGACGAAAGGGATTGGCGAAAGATTTGGGTCTATTTTGTTGATAAATCACGGACAATTCTTTGACTGATTTTGGGCATTAGAAAGTTAGGTTGGATTTTGGGGATTTAGAAAAAACTCGATCCTGGGGAAGAGATATAAGGGTTTTTTAAATGGAGCAATTTGGGATTTTTCTTTTTTGATTTCATTTAAATCTTTACCGATATTACAAATTGAGAGGAAAAAAAATTAATGCCACGTGTCGGTATTTTGTTATTCTTAATTTAAAAATTGTCTTTGGTGCTAGAAAATGTGATTGGAGGGACCAAATGCAAAAGCAAAATAAAATAAAGGGACACGATTAAAAATTTTGAAACAATAAAGGATCATCCTAAACCTTTAATCCATTTATAGTTTACTCCATAGAGCTTCTATTTAAAGTTTTTGTAGACTATGAATAAATTATTAATCCTCTTATTATTGCATTTGAGAACGCCTTTGACTGTTTTAACGTGAAATAGAAACTGCATGTGCCTGTCTAGGTTTCGACTCCACTTGTTTTGGGCCTTTGATGAATCTTTTCCGTTGCTTGATTTTCCTGCCCATTAATACAAAATCCTTTTTTTTTTTTTTTTGAACTTCAATCTTTTCTCACAACTATGTTGAGTATATTATAAATTAGTCTCCATATTATAAAAAACAAATTAATTAGTTCTTATTTTTCAAAAATTAATTATTTAATTTTTATTGTTTAAAAATTTTAATTAAAAATAATAAAAAATATAAAAAATTGATTAAAAAATGATGTTTTATTTTATAAAACAATAATATTAAATTAAACATTATCAACAATGATCAAAAGAATAAATTACTACTTTTTCAAACAAGAGAAACTAATTTATAATTTACTCAACTGTGTTTGGTTCCCAAAATCAGATGAAAAGGTGAGCCAAAAGAGTAGAATTTCAGGCACTATCATATTTGATTTATCTCATGAATCCAACTTTCTCAACCCCTTCTCTTTCGCTTTCCCCTCCAGTGGATGAAAATGATTACTTAATGGAACATGAGGATCTTACCTTCCCAAGTGTTAAGAAAGTGAAATTCAATATTATGACAAATATATCATCTTATTTTAAATCTTAAATCATACAAAATAAGTTTCTTAAATCATCTTTAACCTTTATAGTATTTTAATAACACTTTATTTTGACTATAATAACTCTATTTAAATATATGCCAACAAAAATCAATAATATTAAAATCTAAAAAAATAATAAAATTACATCGAAAGACATATATATATATATGGACAAAGAGGGGGAGAGAAATCAAAACATTAAATAGTTTTTAAAAAACTAAATAAAATTATTAAATAATTTAATTAAGAATGGTAAAATATATATTGGTAAACTACACTATAGATATTTTTATAGTTTTAAAATATTTAAGGTTGCTTTTGTCTTTTAAATAAAATAAGCAGTCTTTCATATATAAAAAAACATCACCTCTCAAACATTAAGCATCTGATTTAAAATCCTTACCAAACATTTTTTTTTTACACTTTTAATTGAATTGTTTTAAAGCAAGTAGTAAAAACTAGAAAAGCTCGTCTTATTTTAATTATGAATGACAACATAACTCAACCCAAATTGCTCATCTTCATTACAAGAAAAGATGGTTCAGTTTGTCATTGTGTTCTTATATTTTTAATTAAATTAATTTTATCTTTATAAATAATCGAGTTTTTTAGTCTATCCTTCAGTTAATTTTTTCCCGCCCAAATCAGTAGAACAAGTCATATATAATTTAATATTATACTAGTGTAGGAGGAGGAGAGAGAGACTTCGAAGAGGAAGAGAGATTTGATACTGAGTGATTTTTTTTTTTTTTTTGTCTCTATTTGTTCTACACATAACCAACATGGCTTTAGAGTTTAGAGTCATTTTTTATATAATATTGAGTAATGTAAATGACTAATTCTGTTAATTTAGAAAAAAAAATTAAGAAAAAGATAGATTAGAAAATCAATTATTTTATAAAGATAAAATTAACTTAATTGAGAATATGATAACATATTGAAAACTCACATAATATAAAAGTACAGATTGAGTTATTTTCCCAGGTTACGATTGACATTTTCTTCTACTGTAATATTTTTTCTTTTCACACAGATTATCCAACATTTATTTTTTTCCCTCCAAAGCAATCCTTTCAACCATAACATAGCAGTAAAAACCTAGAGCAATCAAGGCTCATATATCTTAAATTGACATGATTCGATCATCTTTTCCCCAAGTAGAATGAATCCAAGTTAAAGCACTTTAATGATGTCTAAATCGGCCAATCTTGGGCGGCATTTCTTCTTGTCAAAGCAAAAGCAACTTGCAAACCGGTTGAATAACCTGCCTGCCTACAACCTCCAGTCTTCAACAAGGTAGTTGAAAAAAATGCAAAATTATGAACAGAAAAGAATATGAGAAAGGGAGAGGAGTCGAGGAGATCATCAAATCTATGTTGAACATAGAGCAACGGGTGAGGTAATCTTTGCAGAACCCCGTACAAGGTCCCATGTGAATAGGGCATAACTCGAATAAGGGTCTGTGCACATTATGGACGTTCAATAAATGCCCACTTGACAAGCTGAACAACTTTACCACCACAAGTTTCATTGCTTCAAATAGAAAACCAAACCCCACCGCGGGACCTGAAGCCTGAAGTAGGATTCTGCAGAACAGTCCAAGAGAGCATGAACGCTACCATCATTACCATCACTGTTGATTTTAAAACACAAATGTCCAAACATAATGGGCCAGGTCCCTTCTAAACTGCCAAGATCATGACGAAATAAAATAGAAATTCTAGAAAAGATTTATAAAAAAAGAACGAAAGTGAGAGAGATTAAATGGAAGATAATCATATGCAGTCCATAATAAGGAAAATAAACCAAAAGCTTTTGTTCGTGGAAATTGTACCGAGGGACTAGATAAATAGCAGTAGTATTTTTAATCATTCTGACACTAGCTCTAAGAGATTATAAATGTCTCTACTTAGCAAAAGAACCAGTAATTGAACCGCCTCACCCAAACAAGTTGTACGATTGAACCAGCCAGTACAATAGTCCAAGTTCACTTTGACCAACACCACCACCATGAGCACATCTTGTACGTGACCAAGACAAGTAAGGTAAAAATAATCTTACCTTAGATTTGGAGATAAAGAGACATCACCATCAAAACTTAAATGGAAATGCAGGGCAGAAAACACCAAACAGAAGAAAAGGCAAGCATGTAAAAAATGAGTTACATTTATTTCCAAAGAAATTCATAGTTCCTCCCTAAGTATAGACAAGAGAGAAATTTGACCAAGATCAAGGTGAGAAAGAAGATCTAGCAACTAAACTATACCTCGTAAAAGTTCCAGCTACGAAGAAACTAATCACTAAACTACCTATTCTCCTTCAAATGTGTCCCAAGCATTTTCCACTTAAATGAAGGATTCTGATTCGATGTTAATTTGTAACTCATCAGCTCTGTTATGTTGCAGATCTTTGGATGAAACATCTTCCATGGCTTCAATTCACTTAGCAGGACCTTCCATGTCAGGACATAATAATACCATGCAAGACAATACAAGCTCTGCTTCTTTCCCAATCCTTCGAATGAAAATGACAAAGAAGTTGAAGGAGACAGAAGCATAGACGATGAGGATACCAGTTAAGGAATTACTTGGACCCATTCATAGCGTCCAGAAAGGGGCAAGTCATTCACAATATCAAAGTTGTACCTGGAAAATTCAGTGAAACACTTGCCTCAGTTAATTGAAGATATAATCTAGACGAAACAACCCACTCTTCTAGCTGATCTTTCCTCTCTTTTTTTTTTTTTTTTTCTCTTTCATATCTAATATGCATAACTGTAAAGCATACTCTTGAATAGAAAAGTTAAAAGTCAGCATACTTCTCAATAAATAGTCTCTGTTGTTGCTGTTCTGCATCAGCAAAAAATTCGTCCATTTCACATGTTGTTGGGATATTTCTCTGCATGTTACTCAAAAGTCTTTGGTTAACTGCAGCTGAGTGTCTCCGTCTTGTGGTTGAACCCGGGGTTGCTATGGTTTCTGAGTCCCTTATCAAGCTACATGGTGTGCTTTCCCTAGTGCACCTGCTTAAATGAAAATCAAGGCTTTAGACGTGTTCCATTCAGAGAGGCAATTTTCATTACTCAAGCTACTTGTCCAAGTTCCTGAAATAGCTTCAGGAAATTTCCTTCTAAACAATATTCGGAACATTTTTAAGACAGCTAACTGAAAAACACTAAAAAAAATGTAGTACCAACAATCCCATTAATGGTAGGAAAAGAAAATTATGCACATATAGCAGGTGTTGACAAGGACAAGATCCAATTGGGAAAGGCAGCAGCAATACAATGAAACCGAAGAAAGCTAAGAGTATCTCACATAAATGCATCAGCTCATAACCAGGCCCCATGAATAAGATATATCATCGTCCTCTTGCATGCTAACACAAATGAGTCAGAAGCGTTATTGGCACCAGTATTGCAAAAAATAAATTTAATATCATCATAGCTTTAAATGCCAAATTTCTTGAAAAGCTATTTGGCAAGGCAGCTAAAAATAGAAAAGACAATCAAATCCAAGGCCAAAAAGAAATTCAAATACAAAAGACCACAGCAATTTTTTTTTTTTTTTTTCGCTTCAAGAAAAATGTAGTGCAACTAGATCTCTGCCAATTAACCTTGTCATGAATCTAAGGTACCCTTGATGGCCCAAAAAAATTGATGATGGTCCCAGAAAGGAAAAGATTCATGAACTTGATATAGCCCGCAAGGCTATTAATAGCACGATTATTCACAATTAATGATACTTAGGGGCAGTTGATATGATAAATCAGAAACATCCCTCTTCATCCTATTTTTCATGGTACGGTGAAAGTCAATGAAAGCAGGAAACCAGTTTCCTATATTCAAAGAAAGGCAACTCCCAGCAGTAATAACTCTGGGGATAGGGATCCATGTCGCATAAAATCGACCTGTTATGCATTAAAGTAAAAGCCCTCTCTCACAAGTCACAAACACCACTAAACTTTTTGTGAAAACAATAATGTTAATGCATCACATGAAGGTGAAAACAAAGAAACAAATCAAAACAGCAGACACCCACTAAAGAAAGAATTTTCTTTTCCATTTCAAAACATAATAAGTAGACACCCATGACCAGAAAATACACAAAGAAACCCATGTTTCAGAGCTCACTACAACTTATTATAGCATTTTGCAGCAGTAACCAAGTTCCTAAATGAAAGGACAGTGAAGTAGAGTCCATAGACCACACAATGAAAGGGAAAAAAAAAAAAAAAAGCATACATTAGATATTCAAAAAAATTTAGAAAAACAGCAAAACAAAATGAAAACTCCTAAAATAGAAAATCCTTGTCGGAAACAAAGAGTTAGACATGCATTTAAAAGAACAAGAAAAGAAAAACATTTAAAAGACCGTCTTTATGCAAGTTAGAGATAATAGAACTGCAAGTAAAAAGAGTCTTTTCGCACATGAAAAAATGAGTATTTCCTAACTCCCCCTATGAGCAGATTACTAGACAAAAACACAGTGAAGAACAAGAAAAATAAGGGACTTGCTTTGAGGATGAAACCACGCCAAAATAACTTACTACCCCCCCCCCCCCCAACAAAAAAAAAATACAAATGATCCTTAAAAACTTGTTCAAAAAATTCTAAAGAGGGAAAACCGAGAGGGATGCAAGAAAAGATCAAAATACCCACCAAGAATTTTTTTTATTTTTTAAAAAGCAAAGAAACGGCTATAAACAAGAAGCATATGTCTAGAAAAAGAACCAAAAATTCCCAAATTAAAATAAGAAATAAAAACCATTTAACAGAGGTACATTGAAAAAACACAAGACTGAAACAGAAAAGAAAACAATTGGGACTAATTAAAACAGGGAAAAGGAAGAGGAGGATTGATAGGATTACCTGTCGAAATCGAAACAGTTATCTCCAAAAGAAGCCTCTTTTACAGCATCAAAATCCTCTGTTTCACATTCAGTATCACCAGTCGTCGCCGACGAATTCATTCTCAGCCTAGAAGCCCCCTTGCAGTTGAAATTGACGCCCTTCTCCTTGGTTGGTGTTTTTTTGGTTTCAGGCGCTGTTTTTTCAAGGCGGCGGCTCCTTAGCTGGAGGTAACAGGTGGAAGTAGCATCTGGGTTAGGAGAAGCAAGAGACCTGAGTCGCTGTAAGGCAAGGGTTTTGGCTCTAGTGCAGACACCAGAAGTAACCTCCATCACTGCAACAACGTCGCTTGTGACTTTGGATTTCTTCATGTACTTACCCATTGTTACTTCAGATTTTCTTGAATCAGTTCTGTTTTTCAGAAAACAGAAACAAGCTGTGCTCACTGAGTTGGGTATGACTGCGAGAAGCAGTCAGCCAGAGAGGTAGAGGAAGAGATCAATTTCTTCGTTTTTTTTTATTTTTGTAATGAGAGGGAGAGGGAGAGGGAGGAAAGGCGAGGGAAAGTGAGAAAGAGAAAAAGTAGGGTTGGGGTTTAAGGAAAGAGTAAGCAAGCAAATAAGCATCCTCCTCCGTATTTCCTTCTCCCGTGATATTTGTTTTTTGATGATCTTTTGTCCTCTCCTACGTTATCATATTTTCTAGTAAATTATAAATTAGTCATCCTACTTTGGCAAAAAAAATTATATAGTTCTTTTTGTTTCAAAAATTAACTAAGTAGTATTTTGATTAGAGTTAACCATTGGTAATTTAATATATCTTGTTTCAATAAAATTATCTTCTTTTCTCATTAATTTTTCATATATTTTATTTATTTTTCTATTAATTAAAAAACAAAAGAAAAAATAAATTGAAAAGGAATGAAAAAGATTGAGTTATAAATAAATATAAATATATATGGACTAATTAATTAGCTATTAAAACTAAAAGAATTATTTAATTCTTTTTGAAAAACTAGAGGGAATGATTTATAATTTACTCTCTGTTATGAAATAATGAATGTCCATCATCATCTTCATCCATTTTTCATATCCCCACTAATCATGATTCAATTCATCATTCAATATGAGAAATTGAAAGGGTGATGCAATTGATTATTCATAGTCCTTTCTAATTCTCTTCTCAATTTTGAAGCCTATAAATAGGCTTGATTATTCATTAGTTGGTGTACAAGTTTCCTAGAGGGAATAAGAGAAACTTTGAAGTTCTTATCACTTATATTCACATTATAGTGGTTTCATTTTCTTGTCATCCTTTTCTTCAATTCTCCTATCATTTCTATTTATTTTATAACACTCTCTTATTTTTTCTTAAGTTTTACCTAAATGTTTTTTTTTTCAAAAAAAGAAAATTAATTGATACAACAAATCATTCTAATAAATATGGCAATTGACAAGTCATATGTAATGAATTGTAAATTTCATGAAAATTTTATGCAATTTGTTGGTATATAAATGGGAGGAATTTTATCTTATTTCAGAATAATTAACAATACTTATTGTATAAACCAAAGATAGACATAAAAATGAGGGAGATTTAGGGGGAAAAAAATTGAAACATTGTGAATACATTTTTATAATTTTTAGTGATTCGAATGTGATTTTCTCTTTTCTTTTTCTTGTATTTATCTCTCTTTATTGTGAGCATATAAATATTGTTAATTATTTATTGAATATTTTAAAATTTCTTTATAAATCCTATTGCTATCTCTGTTTTATATATTTTTATTGGAAGAAAATAAACTAGCATAGGTAATGGAATTTTATTTTATTTTATTTTTTGATAGAACATAGGTAATGGATTTGATTTTAGTGAATGTTGATGAAGTTAGCCTTTGTGATAGACTTCAACATATATGGAAAAACTCAAATTATTCAACTTAGTTCGAGTTGAAATTATTTAAAAAAAAAAAAGGTAATTCAAAGAATTGTCTAAAAGAATTTGGAACAAGTCGAGCAAAACCTAAGAGATTTTGGTTTATCCAAATTACATTTTTCACTTTTTAATTTATAAATTTTCAAAACTTAATTTTTGTTAGACCTAATTTTTGGTAATCAAAACTTCTTTTTAATTGGATGTTGAGAATATCCTTGGATGAGAAGGTTGAGAGATGGGTGTTAAGGTCGTTGAGTGACACCAAAGATATCTTGGTCTTCCATGGTTGGTCGATCAAAGAAGATCATCTTCGACTCTATTCATGACGTGGTCGACAGAAGCTTTCTAGGGTTGGAAAGGAAATACTCATCATCAAGTTAATGGTGCAATTGATCCCAACGTACACAATGAGTTGCTTTCTTCTTCCATCGCCTATTTGCAATGAAGTGAAGGCGCTAACAAGGAAATTTTAATGGACCAATTTAATGTAAGTGGTGGCATTCCTTAGTTAGCTTGGGATAAAGTTAGCAAGGTTGTAGGTGTTGCTAGCCACTACAAGAAAATTGACAATTAGTGATGGCTTTTTTCATCGCTAATTAATTAAAATCCTTCATTAAAGTTGCTTAGTAATGGTGTAGCGATGGAAATTATGTTCGTCGCTAAAACACTAGTCGCAAACAATAGCAACGACAAAAAATCATCTCGTCGCTAATATAGTGATAGAATTTTCATTGCCAAGTGGATAATGTACGTCATTAAATCGGTCATCGCAAATCGTCGCATTAAGCGTCGTTAATGTCATCGTTGTTTAACGACCAATAAGTCGTCGCTAATATTCAAAGCTAATTTCATCCGTTGCTAGTCCATTGTTATTTCGTCATCGAATGTTGAACAAATCCATTGTAAGTCCGTCGCTATTGGTATGGAAATTTGTCTCTACTCGTCATCGCTATTTCGTCGTTAATTAAATTTTTTATATTTTATTTGTTTGTTTTTAAATTAATGATATTCTTGATAGTAATTAATAATTAGAAGAAATAAAATATTATTAAAATTTTAATATTATAAATTAAATATAAATTAACATTAACAAAAAAAAATCGATAAGTACATATGAAAAATAGAAAACAAATTAAAAAAATGAATTGTCGGTCTCGATTATCATCTTGATTGTGTAATCCCTTATCCTCCTCTTAGGACTCGATGGGGGGCTCGGTGGAAGGCCGGGAGAGAGGCTCGATGGAAGGAATGACGGAGTCCCGACCGGTGGATGGATCTATAGGCAAACCGAAAGTCCGTGCCGACTTAATCAACATGGAGGCCATCATTTCATATTGAGAATTAAGCCTATATATGGTACTCGTTGCTCCGTGAGAAGGTTTTATAGCTCGTGTTGTTTGATCTCGCGTCCCTTTCATCACCTCCTTCATCTCCCTATACTCGCCTTTGAACCTTCTCATTAGAAATATTACTCGGTGTAATGCGATGACACGTAAAAGGATCCGTTGCCACCTAATTAGAATAGATAATGCACTACTTGTGTGACTACATCATATACCCTATTCTTTTTCTCCCCTACAATCTCGAGGTATATGACGTTCTTGTCAACCTCTAGCTTCAAGATTTATTCGCACTGCAGACATCACAACAACTTCCTATATTATTTTAAATTTAAAATAATAATTAACAATTACGTAACTAAATTTTAACCTAATGATTAATAAAAAATAACTTAACAATTAATCAACCTTATCTAAATTACATAAAAAATAACATAAATAAAATTTAACCTAACACTAACCCTTAAAAAATTAAATAATTAATTAAATTAATTAAATAATTAACATAAAATTAACACTAACAATTAACAACATTGCACTAATAATTAAAAAATAAAATGATAAATAACAAAATAAAAGAAACAATTAACCAACTAACAATTCACAAAATTAACATGATAACTAATTACATTAATGTAATTAAAAAAAAACTTAAAATCTAGAGAGAGAAAAATTAACAAAGAGATCAAAGAGGGAGATGAGAGATTGCATTGGAATTTGGGGAGAAAGATGCACTTCGTCGAATTGACTGGGTGAAGAGGGAGTAGGTGGTGTGCGACAACATGGGGTGGTGATTTAAGCCCGGCGACAGCGAGGGGGAGAGGGAAATGAGAGAAGTGAGGAAGAAGATGAAAACCGATGACTTATAGTGGTTTAATAAATAGCGATGGACATGTTTTCATCACTATTTCGTCATTAATTAATGACGAACACTTATGTCCGTCGCTAATTTGAATTTCAAACGAGTGCTCGAATTCTTTGAAAAGATTGAGATATTTGCTAAAATAACGACGAATTCTCTAATCTGTTACTAATCCATCGCTAATTTCAATTTCAAATCAATCAATAATTTTAATCATTAAATTTCCTAACAACTTTGCATTTAGTGATAGATTATTATCCATCATTAATTAGCGACGAGTAGCGATGGATTGCTAACGAAGCTTTTTCAATTACGAATCTAGCGATAAAATTTTTTACCGTAGCTAAATCAATGACAAAATTCTATTGTATTCCATCATCGATTATGGCATTTTTTTGTTGTGCTATTTAACGACGGATGTAAGTGGCCATCACTACTTCATCACCGTTTAATCGCTAAATTATGCATTTTTCTTTCCTCACTAATTTGTCATTATTTAGTAGCTATATTACGATGGAATAAAATCCATCACTAATTACCTATTTTCTTATAGTGAGTTTACAAGTAGTATTCAATAGATTTTCATGCCGAGTATTGATAATGATCAAATTCTTTCAATTGGTGCAAGCTTGAGATTTCATGCAAAAGGGTTGGTATGACACCACTATAGGAATGGCAACTATACTCGTTAAATCGAGGTAACATCTCGCTTTGGGGTCAATATCAAGCTAAGGTTGTATCATAAAACCTAGTGAATGGTGGATTAAAGTTTGGTATCTCTCTATTCCTCCGAAGGTTAAGAATTTTGCTTGGTGTGTTCTTTATAATATTCTACCCATAAGAGTTAATCTATAGAGGTGAGGAATTGAAATGAATCTTTTTTGCCCTTTTTGGGATGATTTAAATGAAGACTTGTGTTAGAATAGGTGTCTAGGACCCAACCATGTTTGGATGAGTTTGAGTTATTGTATTGTTGTATTATTTATAATAAAATAAATCTTTCTATTAATTCTTATCATTTACATCTTTTGATTGAATAGAATTAGATAAAAGTCCATATGATATGCATTTGTATTAGTGATCGATCGAAAGATGTGAGACCAACATTAATGCACATAAATGATATCATTAAATGTCCCAAGTCCTAGCATTATCAATAATGGACATTGACTATATGCGATTAGATTTGTGAGTGTTATGTTCATGTTATATGATGGCAGTACGAGATCTCACACGTATTGACATG